TGGGCGCAAGTTTCCGGGAAAAACTAAAAAAAATGAAAAAATTTTTTTTAAATGGGCTGGGAAAAAAAAAAAAAAAAAAAAAAAAAAAAAAAAAGAAAATGGAAAAAAAATCTAAGTAAAATCTGATCTGAGACTTTTCAGTAGTCGAACAGAATTTGTTTTACAGATATCTGAGATCAACATTGTGAAATGAATTTATTTCTCTTTCACGCCAACAGCCATTTTCAAAGGTAAGGATTACTCTCCAGATCACAGAGGTCTTATGAAACATTCTGACTTTGGAAAAGCATCAGGAATGAAATGATTAAGACATTTTAGTTTTAGTAGATTTCACCATTGTCACCATTTTTTTTAAAGACCTCACATGTCCCATCCGATTACAGGGAATTAACTTAAGCAGTAAAAAAAAGTACCTGATGGTTCTCTGTAAATTACAAGACACGTGATGATGAGGTTTTGGTTAAACTGTGATTTTATTTTATTTTATTTTATTTTATTTTTTAAGCAGCCGTTGTGTCACGCTGCACATTCGTTAAATCCACTGTCATGTTTGTCACATTTAATCTTGATGATAACAAAACTTCTTAGTCAGCAGTGGTAGTCTTACTACGCCATTTACTGTCCTTTTTATGCTACATGCATTCAAATATAGATGTTCAAATGTTGAATTTGCAGAATCTGGAGATAGGTATTAATTAAATTGCAAAAAAAATTTTTCAAAAGACTCTGCTTCAGTCACAGTAAGTCTAAAAACTTTCTTTACTGTCCAAAAAAACAAAAACAAAAAAAAAACTAGAATTATTTTGAAAATAGAAACTATCCGGAGGATTCACTTTATGTCTTTATGGATATAAACCGCTCACGCTCGGCAACAGTTGTCATTTACTCATGATAGGTGGTCGAAACGTGCGCAGCATTTCTGGAAAAAAGTGATTATCTGCAAACGTGGGAGCCGCTGTGTTCTCATTTCTATTGTCGGTCTTATAAAACACCGTCATGAAGCCAACGCTTGATTTGAAAACGTTATTTTTGCTGGGATCTAAACGAGGCGACATATGTGAGATACAATTATCATAACATGCAATAGCTTTGCATTTATTTATTCGTTTATTTGCTGCATTAATTATAGCCTTTGATAGTCATTCATAATAATCAGTCATTTTTGAAAGTTTGGGATTTTTCGAGTTTCTAAATAAATCTGAGAGAGCTGCATGCTGCTAGCCTCTGTGGCTTCACACACTGAAGCTTTCATGTTGTTCTGCATGCGTGTGTGTGTGTGTGTGTGTGTGTGTGTGTGTGTGTGTGTGTGTGTGAGAGAGAGAAAAAGAGAGAGGGGTGGGAGTCTTTTAGCAGTTCAAACACATACTCAGTACCTTGTTCAAGTATTCAGACCCTTCAGAGACAATCTGTCAACACCAGTTTTCAAATCCTGCCACAGATTGTGAAGTGGATTGAAGACTTTAACTTTGACTGGGCCGTTCTAGCGCGGGTTTATGCTTTGATCTGGTTGGAGGGTTTGGCTCATTGTCCTGCTAGAAGGTGAACCTGCACCTCAATATTCTGCAACCCGTGTTCAGCTCCATCCATCTTTCCCACAGCGTGACGCTGCCAGCAGTTAGTTTTCCAGGACATAAAAAAGGTCATATTTTTCCCTCATTTACCCAAATTACACATTTCTGTCACATTTGACGTCATTTTTTTCCCTCCGACGTTCTCAAATAAACAGCCGAGGCCTTCGGGTTTGGATCCGTACTGAGATCACACCCCTCACAGACAGACACTAACTGCTGGTGATTTGTGGGAGCTGCGTACAAATGCCCGCCGCACTTTTAAGCTTTGACTTTGTGAAAAAGTAGTAAATGATGAGTCATTCAACTTCCACTTCCAAACAGAATAGAATCGAGTTTAGAGATAGCAGCAGTGCAACGAAATGTGGAAAATGTTCAAGGGTTGTGATTATTGTTCAAAACGCTGTATGTCAGGATAGTTAGCAGCTCTGAGCCGCTCTCAGCGTGTTCATGGTTGTAGCTCTTCTACGTCTCTGTGTTGATAGATTTTCTTCTTCCCTGCAGCTTCGCGTTTTCCTCAGTTATCTCTGGGTTGGAGTGAATTCAAGTCTTTGATTCTGAACCAGATCAGGCAGGTGCAAACACGACGGAAAAACACTGAATAAATTAACAGTTAGAGCTTCCTCTAATCTTGTAAATCATATCATGTAAAGTTAATTTCTTGATAGACATTGAGGGAATTTCATGTTTTCTCTTTTACTCTAAAAGCACTAAATGTTGTTCAGATGTTACCCCAGCTCAAGGTTTCAACTTGTATTTACTTGTATGAAGCGAACTAGTGTGAAGGTTAAGCTTGTACAAAAATAAAAAATAAAAAAATAAAAAAAGCCACAGGCCCGAAGCACTAGAGATCGAACCCAAATCGTATCTGCTACAGCAAGAAGGAGAGACATTTGAGGTTAAATTTATTTTACCTTTACTTCACAAAAGCCCCAAAGTTTCCATTCTTGTTCGGTGGAAAAAGACAAAAAAAAAAAATGGCTGCTGGGCGAGTCTCAAAACACAACCGCCTCCTTCTGCTTTCAGCTTATCACTACAATATTGATGTACCTTCATAATGAGATTGCATTACCTATTTATGAAGTGAAATATTCAAATACACAGACATGTCTAAAAGCCCGGCCGCCGCCCCCTCCCCCGATGGAGTCAGCAAACTAGCAGCCAACTGGATCTGTTGAGGGCCGCCGTGCTCTCCCTGCCGTCCTGGAGCTCCCAGCCAGCAGTTTGCCATCTGCCTCAGCTCCTCGGGTGCAGCCCGCAGGTATCCGCCACCGCCTTCTGAGGAGGTGAGAGCTTCCACGCTTCGACCCGAGGCGAGCCACCGCGAAGTCCTGAGCCGCTCCCGCGGGAGACGAGGCGGGCTTTGATGTGAGCAGCCATGTTTGAAGCAGCTCCTGGTGGTGCCGGTGGAGGCAGCTCCTCTTCCTCCTCCATGTACCCGTTCTGGCTGGCTGGCGTCCTCCTTCTCCACCCGTTCAGTAAACCGCATCGCAAAGGATAAGTTTTTATTTTCCGTCTTAACCATAATTACTGATTGAAACAAAAAAAAAACAACTCAGTTCAAATTTAACACGCATTAAGATCCGTTGAGCACATTTGAGAGCAAAGACAAACGTTACACTTGTAGGACGTTGGCCCATTTACAGATCCGGTCATTGTCTTCATGCGGTGAGACACCTGCACACCTAGACAACGTCCTGATTGTTGCAGCTCATTCAGTGCGAAGGAAGTTGTGAGGTCGCTACGTTCAGCACTCATCATGTGCGTTTTTCTTCGCCGCCTTGAGCCAAAACGAGCTCCGATGATGATCCGACTTCTTTACTGTCATAATTACATCAAAAACCGATGGAGAGTCCTGGAACCTACCAGGATGCGGTTTTGGGATGCGGTCATCATGGTCTTATCGCGGTCTGCAGAAAATACGGGGGGGTTTCCGCGCCTCCACCGTTAGTGTCTGCTCTTCTAAGTATGAGGAAACATTTTTTGCTCCTCTTCACGGGCTGCGACCATGTTGCTCCTAGGACTCCAGTAAGCTGCCACAGTTCCAGTAGAGAGTTGTTCATGCCTAAAAACCCTCTCATGTTCTCTTATGGGTAATTAAGAGCAAGCTCAGCATGTCTCGGAACGGCTCGCTAAACCTCGCTGAAACCCCGCACAGACCACTCAGGCAGGGTTTTTTTTTGTCGTTTTTTTAACGCCACAACGACGTCCTCATCCGGTCCTGTAGAGCTCATGATTGGTTTATGGCATCTTTAAACTGACTCTGGGATAAACCTGCTGGGCTGAGAGCAAACGTTGGAAGAATTAGTAAAACCAAAATAATAAAAAGACAAAACCCTCCTTCCACCTCCCCCCCCAAAAAAAACAGAGAGAAACATCCTAGAGATAACGTAGTGATAAAAAACACTTTAATGATGTAAGACATAATTAAACTAATAAAACTGTAATAAAATGAAAAGAAATTATCGATGAATATTTGTACATATTTTTTTTGTGTTTTGCCATCCTCCAGCGTTTTTTCATATGATGTTTAGATGTTTGTTTTGGTTGTTTTTGTTTATTCCCTCTCTCTCTCTTTTCTCCCCCATACTTTAGATATCAGTTCTTTTTGTGGAGTTTCTTATTATTTCATGGTCCTCATCAGAGATCATATTTATGTTAATTATGCTTGTGCGCACCATGAGCGCTGGGATTTGTGGATCTATTCTTGGCGGTGGAAATTACTTGAAAACACTTGATAGGACTCAATAAGAAGAGGAAGACATGCTGACTTTTTATTTTTTCCTAACATCACATCCCTCTCCCCCCATAAGTTCTTTAGGATTTTAATATTTTCACTATAATTAATTAGAGCACAGCCTTTTTTTTTTTTTTTTTTTTTTTTTGAAAAGTTAGGACGATCTTACCTCAACTGAAGTCTTAATTCAGTTCAGATTGTTCCCACCGATTCTAATATGTGTTGCTTTTAACCCTTCATGTAATGTTGGCTTTTTGTCCCTACTGTCCGAAAACAGGACGAGTAGAGAGAGTATTGTTGTAACAGAGTTTTTTTGTCATAAATCTCGTGTCGTTAAAAAGCCAGCTTATTTTTCTTGAAATACACATTTGTAGGGGAAAAAATGCATTTGTGTGTAGATCAGCAGAGTTTATCATGCATATGTCACTTTGTTTTTGATTTGAAGAAAAAAAAATAACGTGTCCACTTGGTTTAAAGGAACCCAGGTTGAAGTTGCCCCAAATAATACTTAAATATGAAGCAGACAGCGACTGACTACTGCAGCAGGTTTTAATCTCCAGGGTACAATGCCTGATTGATGCTTGAAACTCAAAATCAAAGTCCACAGCAGAATGAGCTGTTTAGTTTTGGCATTTGGCAGCCAGATTTTTCCTACAAATGTGGCACCATTTAAATGGAAATAAACACGATTTCTGATAGTTTGTAGTTTCCTGCCGAGAAGCATTGCCGCGATAAAGAAAACGTCGACCGAACACAAATCCACTTCCTTCACGCAGGTGATTTTGATCCGATACGATTGAGATAAGAGCTGAGACTGAGAAATCCTCTGGCATTAAAATAATAATATCAGGAAATCGTCTGAACTGCAGCAACGTGCCAGCTGCGTTGCCGAGACTTCAGCTGCCTGAATGCGGTGGAGATAAGA